CGGGGTTTGTTTGTATTTTTAATTTTACTTCAGTCAAAAATACATGTTTTTCATTCAATTGCCATTAAACACTTTTACAGAAAATAATTTATATTTAATTAGTTATGTATAGGGTAGGAGATGGAACTGGTTTCCTGGTAATACATATATCTAAACCGAATAATTCCTTATCAGTTCAAAGGATAATGTAGTTACAGTGTAGCCAGGGTTGTCGTTTTACCCTATTTATAGGGGATTTTCCCTATTTTTGGCCTTTTTGCCCTATTTTTTCCCTATTTTATATAGTTGCCATATTTTGCCCTATTTTTAACATTTTGTAATATTTTTCAAATTTTCTGCCATTTTGTAAATAAAATGCGAAAAAAACAAAGAAATTTAACTTTTGGACATAAAAATTCCCAAAATTTTCGCCTGCGGCGCTGAAAAAAGTCTCCTATTGGTCTTCTTAATTTCTCAAAATTTTCGCGGCGCTAAAAAAGGAAAAAATCTGGCTTTAGAACTTTTCTAAATTCTCAAAATTTTTCTAAAAATAAAAGAAATCGAAATCTATCGGTTCCAAAGATCTTGAAGAAAAACGATTATTCAGATCGAGATTTTTCGAGCCATCTCGTACGATTGTCGTACGATAAAAATTTCAGTTTTTCGAGATTCGAGATATCTCGTATGATCTCGTACAACATTCCCAATCCTGTCTCTAATCTGAACTTTTGTTTTTTAGAAATTTAGTTAAAACTAGTGGAGAACATGCGGAATAAGGCTTTTTATTTAAAATTTTAATTATTTTTATGTTTTTTAAAATAATTCCCTATTTTTTGCCATATTTTTGACCAATTTCGCCCTATTTTTTCCCTATATTTGAATGGCTGCGCCCCATTTTAGTGGTTTGGAAACGACAACCCTGAGTGTAGCTAAAGTACAACCTGAATTTTTGCTTGGGTCTATTTTCTTTATTTTATTAAAAGTTGTTCTGATAGTTTTAAATTTTATTCCATTTGTTCTGTACCAGTTTCTTTTGTTCTTTCATTTAAAATCGAATATAGTGAAATCTCGATAATATGACACCCTCTGGACCGAATTTACCTGCCGTACAATGAAAGTGGCGTGTAACAGTGAAATTTTGTTATCGAGGTCCCACTGTGTTTAATGATTTTATAAAATCTTAAAAGATCTTGCTTTTTTCTTCGTTTTCTATTTTCTTTTAAAATTACAAATAGTCAAGGAAATTGTTTTTAAAAAATTTTTTTTGATTTTTAACTTGTCTTTCAAAGTCAATTTCATAATTTTAAATAAGTATTCGCATAACTATACTATACTCCTTGACCATTTTAATTTCTAAAAGGAGGGATCGAAGAAGAAAATAAAAATAATAAAGGGAGATACCGTATTTACTCGATTAATTCCTCTCTCTCGAATAATTCCCCTCTCTCGAATAACGGATGAGTTGAAACAATAATCCACCTAACCAAAATACTCTAATACCAAAATACACGTTGAAATTTCAAAATTCGAATAATTCCTTTCCCTTGAATAATTGCCCATGCCACGGATAAAAAATAATTCCCCGGGGAATTAATCGAGTAAATACTGTAAATAAAATATATACATACTTTGATCATTTTCTGAAATTTTCAAAATTTATTAAATGAATTTTTAACAAAAACATACACGTATTTGCACTTCTGTAAATTCAAATTCTTTAGATAATTCAGTAATATCATAGTTAGTACTATGTGGGGGTCCATAAATTAATTTTTCTAATTTTATTTCCTAAAATTTTTTTTTAATTTAAAATAAATATACTAATTAATAAACAAACATATTTTGTCAATTCAATCAGATTTACTCCTGTTAATTTATAAATTTATTAAAAATAAATTTGATAAAGCATAATCTCACTATAATTTTTTATTAAACGGGGCGTTTTGCATAGACTCTCCAACGAGTGACCAACCTAATTTTAAAGAACACCCCTTGTAACTAGTCTGGGTGTACTAGATAGTTAGATTCGACTACTATATTTCTATTATAAATTTTTTTATTATGATTTGGTCGAATAAATATCATTGACTTAGTCCCTGAGAGTCAGACCGACTTATTCTTCCGCTCATTCGACTCATCTCAACGAGCTCTTTCGAAGGTAACTCATTTGACTCCAGACAAACCCCCCTATAAGACACAACATTAAATTACCTTCCAATCTAATCCTTTCCTTTAAATTCTCAATTTGTTTTTTAATTTCCATTTTTTCTTCTTCATTAACCGTTATTTTAATATTTTTTTCCAATAATTCAATTTTATATGCATTTAAATTAATTAATGTCCAATAATTTTTTCCCAATTCTTTTTTGTAAATTTTTATTTTTTCTTTTGGCGATACACTTTTTAATTCGCTTCTTATATACATTATATGCCATTTATTTTCTAAAACGCTGATTGCACATTCGGATTTGTTTAACTTTCTTTTAATTACCTTAAATTGGTTTTAGTACTTAAAGATTACGGCAATTTTGGACTTCGCCCCTCTCCATTTTCAAAAATTTGTCAGCCCCTAGTTTCTATGGCCCACTAGTGACTAACCATTTGTAGACACGTTATAATTTATGGCAATCAACCAGTTAATAAAGGACTAGAAATTTGTGTAAATTCTGTGTAAAGCAGGGATGTTACGGGTAAAGAAAAAAAGACTAGTTTTGGACATGCATCCCTTGAAATTTTATGCGTCCCATCAAAGTATAAGCGTCCCAAAAGTAATGTAAGCGCAATCCAAATTTTCTGATATCTCCCCGAATAGTCCTTTATCCATTTAAATACCCGATATTCATCTATCGCTTATATCCACTGATATCCTCTTCAAACCTTAGCTCCGCAGGCGAAATTTTTTTTGGATTTTGTAAAGCCAAGAAGCCTGATTTCTGACTTTTATGGAAATAATTTCCAAGAAAATTTCGGGGTTCGGGTCGGATTTTGGAATTTTTCTCGGTTTGGCAACGGTGGTGTAATGTATAAACTTGTTATGTTACTTGTGTTAGTGATGAACTAATTAATTCTTCGACAATTTTATTTTTAGTAATTTCTATTTCTGGTGAATAATTAAAAATTTTTCTAATTATAGAATAATAATTTATATTATTTTCCGTTTTCAAATATTTTCCAATTAAATTTTTAAAAGTAAAACGTTCATCTGGGTTTTTATTTTTTAAATAATTAAATTCTCTCTTTTCTAACCAATCTGAATTAATTTTTAGGTTGATTGTTTGTCCTTTTGTAAACTTGTTATAATTTTCCAAATAAATTATAAATAAAATAAAAAATATATAAATAATATTCATTTTATTTAAATTAACAAAATTTTTTTTAAAGTAAAATTAATAAAAATCGCCTGATGCTAGCTTCATAAACATCCCGCGCGTCTTGCGATAGAGAAATTATTGGGAAAGAGATCTCTCGTGATTTTGAATTTTATTTTATGTCGCATGATTCAAAGCGGCTTTTATGTGTATATTATTGTAAAAATATGTACATTTATATTTATCTTTTATTTTAAAAATGCCATATCACGTACATATGCAATAAAAACAAGCTGTTTTCATAAGGCGGCGCATTGCCCTTTTGTAATTTATGACGAAATTAACGCAAAAAACGCAAAGATATGCGTGATCTGAGGAAAAAATGGAAGAAATCTGGCTATAAAAAATTCTCAAAATTTTCACCTACGGAGTTAAAAGAAGAAATCTTTAATCTGAATACCAATTAGAGACCGGCGCGGGACGGGATCCCGACGGACTTTTCCGGGATCCCGAAATCCCGGATTTTTTTGATTTTCGGGATCATTCGGGATTTGGGATTTTTCCGGGATTTCTCCCTCGGGATCCCGTCCCGGCATCGGTTAAAAAATAAAATCCCGACTCGGGATCCCGACATTTTTTTATAATTTTCGGGATTTTTATAATTTTCAAAATTTTCGCCTGCGGCGCTGAAAAAGGAAGAAATCTGGCTTCTTGTCCTCTAAAATTCTCAAAATTTTCACCTGCGGCGCTGAAAAAGGAAGAAATCTGGCTTCTTGTCCTCTAAAATTCTCAAAATTTTCACCTGCGGCGCTGGAAAAGGAAGAAATCTGGCTTCTTGTCCTCTAAAATTCTCAAAATTTTCGCCTGCGGCGTAAAGAAGGAAGATTTTGGCTTAAGGGTCATCCAAAACTTTAAAAATTTTGCCTGCGGCGCAGAAAACGGATACGTTTTGAGTTATTATTGGAGTAAAGTGAAGGAATATTAGTACATAGTGGGATTTTATCAAGGGACCTAGTGATTAATCCACCGATATCCCTCTAAATCCATTATAGAGGGGATTATAGGGGGAGGACAATCCAATTATAAAAAATTATTGATATTTTTACAAATTTAATCTTATTTACTTAGTATAAATTGCAGTATTTTATGCACTTAATTCATAAAAAGTTTAAATTTTTTATTTTGAAAAAAATCCCGAATCCCGGGCGGGATCCCGGATAATTTTTTCGGGATTTTTGAAATTCGGGATTTTTCCGGGATTTCTCCCTCGGGATCCCGTCCCGGCATCGGTTTAAAAAAAAATCCCGACTCGGGATCCCGGAAGTGCGATTTTGCCGGTCTCTAATACCAATATTCTGCAATCATGGAGAGGCTCGGGAAAACTTCAGCTCCGTATTCGGGTCTTTTTAAATCCACAGTATCCCCGGCATCAATTCAAATTCACTGAAATACTTTGTCCTCCTATATAACCCCAATTCCAATTCACCTTATAATCCTTGCAATTCAGGGTAGACTAGAATGCCATCTTAATAAACTTTTGTTAGAAAAAATAATAGAAAATATTCTAGAAAACTTCTAAAAAAATATTAGCTTTCTAGAAAAAACAATCACACAAAATAATTTAAAATAATTTACTAAAAGTGAAATTATATATACTAAATTCAATCACCAATGTCAATCACAAAATTTTTAAGTATATCTGACAAAAATAATTTATTGTTTCTCAAGGAAACGATTTATCACATCATCCAATGCCATTTCTAGTGCTTCATTTGTGCCCTTTAACTGAAACACTACTTTCTTCGCCCAGTTAAAATATTCCCGCGCGCCTTGTTTTCCAAATGCCGGGGGAATGTGTCTTTCCAAATCACGCAAATTATAAAGTTTATCAGCCAACTTGACGAGTTTTGCCTTAATAAGGTGTAGAAAATGTTTTAAAATTATTCATCGGTAATACCAAGACTGGACCCCCCCCCCCCTCCTTTTTTTCTTCCTTAAGAATGTGCATAATGGTCAATCTTTCTTTATCAGTTTCACTCTCGTTCAAGCGGCACGCGGACATATCAGGACGGACATATCGGGATTTTGCAATGTACGAACAGTTACCCTACTTATTTCGGGACCTACGGCCACTGGGTTTTGGACAGTATATTGTCCTATGGAATAGTGTTTTTATGTATTAGAAGAAACGTAAACATGCAAGAAATTATTTTTGTCACCCCACTCCCGTTGTCCGTCCCGATATGTCCGCACACCGTCCAAGCTCTTCATTGAGATCGTTGTCGCTTAATGGGAGTTTTTAATGAAGATTCGGAATAAATAGAGTGAAATTGAGTGATCACTTTTTTCTTAAGAAAGAAAAAGGCAGGACTAGCCTTAGTACCGGCTATTTGGTAATCTACTTTTTGTGAGCATTTTGAAGCTCTTTCAACTTGTTCGTTTTTTCGTTCCTGCTTTGACAATTTTGTATTGTCTGTGCATTCAAGAACAATTTCTGCAATTTCTGTTCCAAATTCCTCTACTAACTCTTCAAATGTTGTTTTAGTATCTTCAATAGTATCATGTAAATAGGCTGCTGCTAGGGTTGCAGGATCGGTAATATTTCCAACACTTTAAGAATTGTTTATTAATAGGATGTGGATATGGACTTTAAAAATAGCCAGTATGAGAAAGAGTCTCATGACTGCTGAAGGAAATCTTGTAAAAGTTTAGTTTGTGTTCCTTTTTCTACTAAAATCCCTCAGTTTGAGGCTTGGTCTCCATTTATATTTTTTGACCATTATTATTCCATAACACGGCTTAAAATTGAGACCGGAGCGTTTTTAACTCCAAATGCTCCAAATTACAAATTGTAAAGTTTAGTGTAAGAAAATGAAAAATAAGGGAGAAAGGTGAGGAAAAATGAAAAAATGGTCAGAAAAAAGAGGGGGTATACGAACCAAAGAACTACCGAATTAATTTTATGTAAAAAAATTAATCTTCATTTCTTGACGAAAAGATGTAAAAAATAGAGGGATTTAAAAAAGGATGGAACAACGGCCTAACTTTTATCGAAAATTTCATTGGAAGTGGGGGGTGAGATCCCAAAAAAACCCCTTTAAGGTAACAAAACCTCGTCAAAAGATAGGCAACTCCAACCGGATGGTTAATATAAGGTGTCCGGCCGTCTCTCCTCATTTGAAAGCGATGTCTACGAGCTGCAAAATCTGCTGCTTTAATCACTATAAACATATCCTCATTAATTTTAAGCTGCACATTTGACGTTTCGTTAAGTTCGGGATAGAGATTAGACTTTTGAAAGCTCTCATTTTTCTCTTCTCCGTTCATCTAAAATAAATTAAATTTCACGTAAAAATTTAACAAAACTATAAAAAGCACTAAAAGATGACAATAAGCACTAATCTTTCTCTGTCGACTCTCCATTTTACCCACTCTTTTCTTAGGAAAGTTAAATTATCTAAATTTCATTTGGTCAAACAGTAAAAATTATAACATTTCGTCTACTTATATTTAAGCGCCGATTTGATGAAATTTTTATTTTTTTACATAATATCACTTTTTTTCTTTTTTTTTCAGTTTTTTAGTTTTCTACAACATAATTATAAATATTCATTGGTGTTTAAACAAATTTGGCTTAACTACAATTTGATTTTATCTTGTGATGCTTCGGTGATTATTCAATTTAACCTGCGATGTCTGTGAGATGCAAAATCTGATAACTAAACGTATCTTCATTACATCAAGTAATTTAGTGATTACTAATGTGCCCATGACCATTTTGTACTTTTAGGAGAAAAAGGAACGAAAGGAGAATGTATATGATTAACGGATAAATACCAACAAAATTAGAAAGATGGTTTTATTTCTGATGAACTGGATTTTCTTATGAATTAAATGAAGAGATGGGTTGGGCAAAATCAAGGTCTGAAATATTTCTACAAGTTTTTAAAAAAATCTTAGTTATGCAGTTGTGTTATTATTTGTTCAAATTTTCGTGTTCATCTTCTGATTGCTTAAACGTCGGTTTGCTTACATAAATTTTGTTTGGAAGAAAAGTAAAGGTTTTATATGAATGTTCTATTTTAAAGGGAATTATAAATCGATTTTACTATTTCAAATTAATTTTTATTAACCAAAAGTTTTGAGACGTATAAATTTATTTTATCAAATAATTTTAAAAATCTCGTCTTATTTACCCTAAATAATTGATAACTAAAATAAAAATTTAAAAATGAAAACAAATAAAAAAAATTTTTTTCTAAAATTGTGTTAAAAAACATAGTAGTTAAGAAGGTATGAATTTTTAAGGGGACATTAAAAAATGACAAAAATCAGTTGAGATAGTTATGAGTGAGAAGAGATCACAGCAAATATTTTTTATTTTAAGGCATTTTTCAATCATCTATAAAAATTTAAATATTACTTTTTAATTCAAAAAATACCTGCAAAAGTGTCGTATAACCTCTCTGCGACAGGTTTCACCTATAAAATTAATTAAATGTTTGATAGGCAAAAAAATAAAATTGATATTTTTTTATGATGACTCTAGAAAAATTTCTTAAACAAGGTTTGGAAGCCGAAAAAGGTTGATATGGACTAGCTATTCCCCTGCCCTTAAAACTAAAGGTTTCTATGTTTTTGGGATGACCCAATATCCTCAGTTAACACGATTAGTGTATTATCCATTATAACAACGATGCATCCTGCGTAGCTTTAGTTAACTAAAAGATACAATAAAATTAAGAACCTTTGAGATACTGTAAAAAATCCCTATTTTTACCAGGACTACCGGATCTTGAAAATCCCGACTCGGATTCGAACTCTAATATAAAATCTAAGGATGAGTGAATTCGGCATTGAACTCAACAAACATTCTTGTTTAACCTTATCAAGCTTTATAAAACTTATAAAAATTTTAATTATTTTTACATTTAACATCGCAACACCAAACAAATTTGCATCGACAAGGTTCTTGACGAATTTCCTATACAAAATTTAATTTAGAATTTTTGATAAAAATTGCCTTTCTAGTATTCCACCCTTTAGAGCAACATATTTGTTCACAATCTGCTAGGGAAAAGCTAAAAAAATAAAAATTTGAAATTTTAAAAAATTAATAGGGGAAACACCATTCACGTCCACTAGCACCACTTGAATTTTCATTTTCTAATAAACAATAGTCTGGAGATTCTTCCTAAAAATTTTTATTATTTTAACTAATATGTAGGATGGTTATTTTTCTAATTCTTTTGAAGGATTGTGTTTTGAAGGATTGGATCCGATAAAAGCTTGAATATCCGTAATTTTTCGGATAGGATACGGATATCGTGGGATTTCCCAGGATCCGCGGACCTTAATTCTGTAATGATTACCGTATATCCTTTAATAATTACTCTGGGTAATTATTCTTTCGACCTTCCGCGAGGGAGAGTAATTATATGGGGTTTGAAATTTGAATGTGTTTTTTGTTGGGGAGGGGTAATTATTTGAGGGAGAGAAATTAATACATGTTATATAAGAGTAAGAGTTAATTAAGTTTAATTATAGCCACAGAAATGTAACTGTGCCTTTATTATGCTGAAAATGCTTGCTAGGCTTCGTGCAGCTGCCCTATATGAAGGAGTTACCGGAGTGGAGAGTTTAAAAGAATAAGTAGCAGTATGGAAGAGAAGGGAGAGCTGATTGAAATTCAGTTCTGTTTTGCTTTTCGTGTCCTTTTCCCATTTTTCGACATGAACCGAGAAAAATTTTTTTCTAAATTTTTCCTAATCATGTACAGGCAATTCAAGTTTGACTTTATTTTACATAAGAAAAATTTTTTTCTAAATTTTTCCTAATCATGTACAGGCAATTCAAGTTTGACTTTATTTTACATAAGAAAAATTTTTTTACCAAAAATACAAGCTCAGATCTACTAGCCAACTTTGCCTGTTGAACCTTATTTTTCAAAAAACGTTGTTCTCTTCTTGTATTAGCACTAGAAGTGCCTATCTGGGATAAACGACCGTCTAAAACGCCGCTTTCTTTTTTATCAACAATTAAGGTAAAGCTATCAGATGCCAAAATAACCTGGAAATTTTTAGAAATTTTTTGAAAAATCATAAAAGGTACTTGTTGTGCTTTTTCATATTTTTTCTTTATTAAGGAAGCAAGTTCTTCGAGTTTTGGGACAGTGCGCCAGCAAGTTTTTGTTACGCAAGAACTTTTTAATTTTTAAATTAAATTTATAAATTAGTAGTTTTAAATTTATGAATAATTTAAATTTATTTTAAAAATTACTCAGCAAATTTTATTATTTTCTTAATCTCAATGTTAAATCGACTTTTTTCTGATCCTCCTAACTTAATTTTGTTGGGATTAAAATTTTTAAAATTTTATTGGATTCACTGGGGATTTCTCAGTGAATTTGTTTTCAGCATAGTTAATTTTCTCTATCAGGGATTTTCTTTTTAAACAATGGAATTTATACTTTTCTTATATATTATATATCCCTTATTCAAAAAAAATTCTCAGCTTTAAGCCCCACTATCGTTCACGTAAGGACTCTCCATCTTAAAGAATTTATTCGTACCATTAGAAAAAGGGTTAGAGTTTGGGTTTGATTTTCAAAATTTACTTCGTATCGGGTTTCGAGAACCTGACCCATTCTTAATCTGCCCCCTTTTTTGACTCATATGTACACTTAGCTGAAACAACACCAATAATCTTATATATACCCATTCTCAATTTAAAATAATTAAAATTACCCGCTAACTCCGTGGCATTTACAGTGTTCTCGCACATTAGCAGCTAACAAACGTCTACCTACTCGATTATTATGTAAATTCATTAAGGCTCTAAAAATAATTGCAAAAATAATTTTAAAATTATTTAAATGCCTAGCGTCCATAATTTGTTTTTCTGTTGAATCAATAAATTTTCTTGTAAACTAGAAAAAAATTTCTCAGAATAAAAATTTAAGAATTTCTTAAAATTTTACTTGATTTCCAAATTTAACATTATCAGAACATCCAGCCCAAATAAACTTTAAAATAAATTTTTAATCAATTTAAAATTCATTTTTTAGTTAAAAACTTGTTCTGGCCTTCCATTAAACCCTTCCGGAGCTGCACTTGTTACCTTAAATTTTTTTCAAAAAAAATTTTTTATTTTAAAAGGCGCTAACATAAGTCTGTTCTCCACCCCCACAACCGCATTCAGGTATTAAGCCTCTAGCACACGCACGTGCCAAAGAATGGGAAGCACCAGCTGATGATATTGCATAAATATAAGCGGTTTCTGCTGTTGCTGCTGAACAATAACAAATATTTTTGATGATTTTTATAAATTTCCTTCACCTCCCTTCACAGGACCAACAACTCCAAAACTTGCCGAGCAGTTCCATCGTTCCTTTAAAATGTGATATACGGTATAATTTATACATTCTATCATTGAGTATACTCATATTAATGTACATAACTCATTTTAATCTGCGTTTATAAAGCTGTCCAAGAACAAAATTTTTCCAGAATCAAGAGTCTTTATACCAAAGCTTAAAAAACTCTTGGTCAAGTCTTGAGTAGTGTTATTCTCCGACGGTGTGTAGGAAGGGGGGGGGGCACGGTGATAACTTTTTAGAGAAAGAGCGCTACGGCGGGGGGAGGGGGATGAGGAACACCCCTAGTCTTCAGTCAAGACATGACCAAGAGTTTTAGAAAGCTTTAGTGGCAGCACACGATCTCTTATAATATGAATATTAAAAATAATTTTTACCCTCTGGAATTGAACATGACACTCATCAATAGCATTTCTTAAGCCTTCTTTAAATGGTTTTAAAAATTTCAAAGATTCATTTTAAATTTTTCTCAAAATACCACTAATTGCACGCATAGCAGCAGGATGTTGCCTACAAATTTCGCGTTGACGTTTGACAAGCCCTGGCTGCATTTGGCAGTTGTAGTAATCAGGAGCAGAAATGGCAGAAGCAAGTTGGGCGGTCATTAGCCTTTAAAAAATTTTCAAAAAAAATTTTTTAACAGTTTAACTTGGGTAAAATAATTAAAAATTTCCAGTTTATTTTAAAGTTTCCACAATTTCAAAATTATATTTCTTTTAAAGAGTTATATAGTTCCAGACGCAAATTAACTTAATTGACAACTGTCTAAAAGTCAAAGTGTATTGACACGAGTAGCGTAAGTTACTCTGTGCTCTCTAACTACAATATAGACCTTTTTTGCCTACTGTAATAAATTCTGATTTTCAATTTCAGCTATTAAAATAGGTACCTTTAATTACTTTTTTTATTTTTAAATTCTCTTAAAAATTAATTTAAAAAATTTATCCTAATTTTGAAAATTCAAAAAAAATTTTTAAAAATTTTCAAAAAAATTTCAAAAATTTTTCGAAATTTTTTTTGAAATTTTTTCACAAATATCTAAAAATTTTTCTAATTTTATTAATTCTTTCTCTCTTTTTTATTCTTAATTTGTCGTGTGTTTCAAATAAAATAAAAAAAATTTTTTTGGTAGTAAAAGTTTAAAAATAAAGAGACAAGCCTCTAAAAAGGACAACAAAACTATTTTTGTCTTCTGCCGCCTTCCCAAAAAAATAAATTTTTTATGACCACAATTTGGGGAAAACAATCAAGAAACATACGCGATCTTTTATTTTTTTATTGGGAAAAGGGGGAAATTACCGCCAAAAGAAAACAATCCTTTTTTAAGGAAATTGATCATAAAAAAAGAAAATTAAATGTGCGCAGTTGAGAAATATTGGATAAAATTGAAAAGAAGAGGTATCAAAACAATTTGTTTTTGACAAGTTTGAGAAATAAAAAATTTTTTTCGAATTTGAATTTGAAAAAACAAATTTGGGGAAAAAATTTTAAAATAAGAATTTATAAAATTTATTTCTGAAAGTCATGGAAGAGTTTCTATTAGAGATCGGACGGAGACAAGATCTCTGACCCTCTCAGCCCGGTCTTTAGTTAAATTACAGTCGGACCTCCATATCAGGGGTCGATCGGAAATGGCGAAGATCGGAAATGCCGGAAATCGGAAATGGCTAAAGTCGGAAATGGGATTCCGATCGACCACACCTCCATATAAAATACACACAACAACAAATACACCTCAATTTAAGAATTCTTAAATTTTGGTTGGCCACTGGATGGGAGTGGGTCTTAGGCAATACCTCTCCAACTTATGATACATTTAATTATAAACTTTAATTTTTTCCAGATCCAAAATGAGTATCTAAAATTAATTTTTTGAGGATCTTTTCTGAAGGCATCCTTCTTTCTAAAGGGAATTAAAATGGGGCAGCATCATGTTATGTAATATTTTTGAATACTTCATTATCTGCATAATCATTTTATGATCTTAAGCTAACTTATAAAATTGAAACGTCTTCGAGTTTATTAAAATTACAAGTTTCCTTAACATTTTTTGACTCCTTCAAAAATAAGACTATTAAAGAGAAAATAAATACACTGATGCTCTAAATGTATATTTAACCCTAATAACTTCCATTAATATGTAGAAGTCCTCACTATCTTATTTAATAATTTGAATAAATTTTATTTTTAAAAGCAGACCAAGAACAATAGACGGGATGACAATAAAGAATTAAAATAAATAAAAAAAGCTTTAATAATTTTAAAACAAAATTTATATTATTGTTGTTATTGTTGTTGGTATAAGACGAAAACATTATTTAATTTATTTAATTTGAAATTTCAAAAATAATTTTTAAAAAAGCTTAAAAATTGATTAAACGAACAAGTATTGAATGAAATTTTTTTATTAATTATAGAAGAATTTTTACATGATCGGACCTCATTACGAACCTATAGATAACAGATCTGATGGTTAAGGGGGAGCATCTGTCTATAACCTTTAAGGCCAGAAACTGTAATTATCGGGTGAGATCGTACAATTATAAGTCGTACAAATGAGGTCAGTCGAAATTTATTTGACTGACCTCATTTGTCAAAAACCAACAGTCAAAATTTATAAAAATAATTAGCTAAAGGACTGCTCCAAACTCATAGGCTGTATGTTCTTTCAGTAAATTTTGGAGTGGATTTATATTAAAATAAGGCAAAGAAACTTGGCCTTCAGGCTTTAAACCAGCCCTTAATTGAACCATGTCAGAACGTTTCGGTTCGGTTTTTCGGATCGGTTCGGTTAAACGGAGAAATTTTGTAAATTCTCTCTCATTAACCCCCTCACTAAATAAAATAGGAAGGTCCCGGTTTTTGCCAAATTTCATAAAAATATTCCAGTTTCCTAAAAATTTTTGTAAATTGGCCCCGAGTATTTTCGAAAACAATTCCTCCAAGTCTTTTAAAAATTAAATCCTTAAAACACAAACTTTTACATGACAAGGCGGATTTATAAAAAGGAGAAGAAATTGGGCGGAAATGAAAGGAGGAAAGTGACTGGGAATGACATTGAACATGTTTTGTATAAAGAAATAAAAAAGAGAGGGTTTGAATGAAACCAATAAAGGTGCAATTTTTACAACATTGTGTGTTTCTGCCTAAAAAATTTATGAGAAAATTGGGGGAATAAAGGGTGTGGCTAAAATAAAGTTTATAAATTAAATAAATACAGTAGACATTTGCGGACGTTTTCGAGAGAATTTGCGGACGTCTGCGGACATTCGAGAATGAATTTGCGGACAAATTGGATCTAGACATGAGTTAGCCTACTAATTTTCGGAACTTGTGGCTACAAAGTTTTTTAATAATTATATGTTACTTGAACTTTAAATATAAAAATTTTTATATTTTAAATAAAACTGAATAAAAAATGATTCGAGGTGACCGCAAATATCTTACCGCTTTTAAAAATTTTTAATTTTCTATATTTTTAATTTGAAAACCTGAACTAATCAGAGATGGGATTTTCTAAAATAATTAGGACAAGACATGCACAACTAAAATCTTGTATTTATTAAAAGAAACTGGATCCTTCTTATTTTATTTAGCGAGGGAGTAAATGAGGGAGAATATATAGGGGTTGTCGGTTTCACGAAAAATTCTCGTTAAATAGAAAAATTAGCGAAACAACAACAATAACAACCGATCCGTCAAACTGAACCGGAACATTCTGTTTTTCAATTCGGATCGGTTTGAAACCGACAACCCCTATAACAAAAAGTCGATAGTAGAAGAATAAGTCACCATCAACAATTAAACTATTAATAAGTTTTGAATGAAGAAATAAGCTGTAGAAAATTAATAAATTGGTGTAAAGTCTATATTTAATCAACATTTTCTATTTAAAAAAGGAAAAAGATTACATATAATTTTTCTTCTCCCCTCTAAATGGCATTTGATTCAATCAACGTGTAACATTCTTTAAATAAACTTTTTTTCTCATTTTAAAGAAGAACTTTAACAGACAGATTTACAACATAACTAGCTTCAAACTATATTTTTGTATTGCCTCGAGGTGTTTTTTTCCTTTTTTAACTTGCTTAAATGAATAAGTTTATTAATATTTTTGTGTAATAATTTTCTTCCTTTTTAAAATAAAATACAAAAATAGGCATTTATACAAATTAGGGGAAGAATAATTTAATAAATTGAAGGTTTTTCATAGAAAAAGTTTATTAAATTGCTTGAAAATACAAGGGAAGTTCTTACAATAAAGGACAATACAAGGAAAGGTCCATGAAAGGTCCATGAGCCCTTCAAAGCAAAAGCCTTTGATTTCCATATCTTTTCAATTTTCTATTGCAATTGTGGAATTCTTGGTATTATAGATTTGCTGGTTCAATTAATCATCTGTCATATTATTTTGGGGTGGGAAGCAAAAGTGGACTTCACAAAAAACCATCGTGAAACGCCTTGATTCGATCAAATCAAGAGTCGTCTGTACAAAGATGTCGTCTTAAAAATCGTCTGAAAAAAAATTGTTTAAAATTGAACTCAGATCCAGCTGATGGGTCTATTGAAGATTTATGAGTTTAATAAAAAAATTCAGAGCCCAAACAAATTCTGGCAAAGGAGAGGCTGTGGAGCAGGGTTGCCGCCCGAAACCCGATACCCGAAACCCGGCCTTTTTTTGTACCCGAAACCCGATACCCGAATTGAAAATTTTCCAACCCGAAACCCGTACCCGATATTTTTTCCAACCCGAAACCCGTGACCCGAAATTGGTTAAAACCCGAAAATTCTACCCGAAATCTTATTTTTTAAAATAAATTGAAAAAATTATGTAAAGAGAAAATTCTAAAATTAGCGCCTGCGGCGCTAAAAAGGAAGAAATCTGACTTCTTGGACTTCCTAAATTCTCAAAATTTTCGCCTGCGGCGCTAAAAATGAAGAAATTTTGCTCTCTGGCCTTTAAAAATTCCCAAAATTTTCGCCTGCGGCGCTGAAAAATGAAGGAATTTTGCTCCTTGGCATTCCAAAATTCCCAAAATTTTCGCCTGCGGCGCTGAAAACGGGAGAAAATCTGAGGCTTTAATGGAAGTCAAGTGGAGAATCTTTATTAATCCTATCCAACAAGTGCTGGAATCTGACGATATCTCTTTTAATCCCTGATATATCATTGCAAGAAGTATATAGGAGGATATGCATGGATAAATGTGGATTTGGAGAGACAATGGGTGATTTGGAGGGATTAAAGGGAATTAGAGGAGGATATATGTAAGCAATATGAAAAGATTTGATGATCCGCTGATACTAAGGATGGTTCATTAATCCTGCAATATCTACCAAACCCTCCTAAATTTATTCCTTGATATTCTTCTCAATTCCAAGATATCCCTCTTAATCCCCAAATCCCGCAATGTCTCTTTAATCTCTCCAAATTTTCCTCTCTCTATATCACCAGAAATCCTAATATGCAACATAGCTTGTCGCCTTACAATTTAGTTCACCAATAACCGAACACCCGAAAATAACCTGAATTTTTCGCCAAACCCGAAACCCGTACCTAAATTTTTGCCAACCCGAAACCCGAATTGAAAATTTTCCAACCCGAAACCCGAAACCCGTACCCGATATTTTTGCCAACCCGAAACCCGTGACCCGAAATGAAAACGCTCCAACCCGATACCCGAAACCCGTACCCGAAGATTTTTTGTACCCGCGGCAACCCTGCTGTGGAGTGTCCGTAAGACTTCGGGATGAAATTGGCAGACAAATAGATCATACCCTACTTTAATTGTGAAATTTTCACCATTTTCGCTGTGGGGTACTAAGGACCGAGTTATAAGCTCCCAAAGTTTTAGGCCTCTCCTTTGTGAGTCCAAATCAACACTTGTCCAATACAATTGAGTCAAGTGAGTCCACTTAATTTTCATGTGAATTCGGGATAATACATTTTGAATTCTGTAAACAAATAAATATTTATTAAAATAATATTTTGTTTTGTCAATATATTTCTATTGTTAAAGTGCCAGAAAAGATTTGCATAAAAAATTAAAATAAAATAAAGTCCCAATACGAGGAGAATTTTTTACTTTTTGTGTATATCACAAAAAACTTTAATAATATTAACTTAAAAAATTTTTATTTTATTTATTTTAAAATAATTGTCAATAAACTTTAACTTAAAATATATTTCTTCCTTTTTTCTAATGTTTTCTTAAAAGATTAAAGAAAAAAAAATAAAAATTTCGAGAGTTTTTATTAATCAAACAATAAAAAAAGGAACTATCAATGACGGAGGTTAACTCAAATATTAAAAAATTTTCAAATTCTTTGGTTCAAAATGATCAGATCAAGTAAGTATTGTAGAAACGTCCAAGACTTTTGGGTTTGAACTTGACTTGAGACCTTTGTATGGGATTTTTGGTCCTAGTCTCGGCTTTTTTTTGAGATATCTAACACGCGAGGAAAAAATTAAAAAAATATGCACTATAGGCAAAAAACTAGTCCTGATTTAAGTCTTGGGGGCAAGCCTTGGTCTTGAGTCATTAATCTTGGCTTTGTCACTGTCTTGGTCTTATCCCCGAGTCTAGGAAATTTTTCTGTTTTGGACTTTGTGTTTAATTAAAATAAGGAAAGAAATAGGTTGTTAACAAAATTCCCAAGATCAGTGGGGGTTACCCTCACAACTTACTGCCTCAAAAATAGTAAAAACAACTTAATTATTCAAACACAATTCATTTCCAGAAATAAACAAATAACCAATCTCTCCTCAAAAACTTCACAAATAAACAAAAAGAATGCAAACAATCTTGGATTTCGTTATATTTGGCCTGTCCGTGTTCAACTTAGGCAATTGGGTCCAAATGGGGAAAATACAATTTTACACATTTCACCAAAATTTGCAACTGTCCACGAACATGTAAGCTTTCAATGGACATTGAAAATGCATGGAATACCCGAACGAATGAAGAAAAAGTTTAGTGAAGAAAGGAATGTAGAAGAAAATAAAATTAAATCGACAACTGATGAGGGAGAGGAGGGAAAGGAAGTGGAAGGTGAAGATGAAGAAGAGGATGATGAAGATGAAGAGGACGAAGAAGAAAGCCCTTCTAGTGCAGAAAAGGGTTATGTGGCTATTTCTCTTTATTATTTGGATGGTCCTGTGAATAATATTTGTTTGAAGGCACAGGTAAAAGATGTTATTATAAGGCAGATCTCTATTGAACGACACTCATTATTACGATACTCACAAGATAATTCTTTTGGCCGATGGGCATTATTACATACGGGCACTCGTGAGACACTCTCCCTTTGATTTCAAATTTTTTCAGTTGTCGTACAAGTGAAATCCAAAGGAAATCGCGTCGTTTTAAACACGATATTATAAACAAAATCATACCTAAGACCCTAATATGCAACTTCCTATTGCAGGTACACGTTTTAGAAGAAAAAGAATTGAAACAACAAAGAGATTTTGAAGAAGTCCATCTTGAAGAGAGTAAGTTTGATGGTTTAATTAATAAAAAAATATTAATTTACAGAAAATTGTTTAACCGTTACTCGAGGAAGCGAATGTGAATTAGCTTTAAATGACCGTAATAAAGTCAGCAATTATATCCGTCAAAACATAGGCAAAGTGATAAGGCTTTCTTTACTGATCGAAATGGATTTGGCTCATTTTTGTGCTGATACTTACTTAAATGCAGTCTCTCCTACACCAATACACTCTTTTTTAACAGCTAATTATAGAGCTAGGGTTAGCAGTAAAGTTTGGAGAAAATGCTCTAATCGGAGGTTTCTCCGTTTGATTTTCTTTAAATCCCTCAAATTTTACAGGCCAAGAAGCGCCTCAGATGGCCATCACAAAATGATAACTGGAAATAGAAAGCTGGATTTAGAAAGGTCGTTTAATCGAGTAATGGATAGAGAAAGGGAAAGGCGTGAATTAGAAAGGTGTTATTCGAATTATGGAAGTAGAAAAGGCTCTAGAAGACATTCACAAAATGAGGAATTAATTTTGGAAGAAGTCTCAATAATAAATAATATTGAGGGACAAAATAAAGAGGAAAAGGTAGGGAAAATGGTCTTCAAAATAGAATACACCCAATATAGATACCGAAGTTTTATCAAAGATTAGGCCTAGGCTGTGGGTTGGAACAGCCTTGGCATTATACGATCTCTAATTATATGATACACCACAATCTAAGATCGTTTCTTTGAAATTTGGTTAGCCACAGGGTAGTGCAGCTGAGTAACCATCCCCAATTTAAGGAGGTACAGCTTAGGTGCAACTCACTAAAAGATACAATTTTTCAGCCTCGAGGAAGGTATCTTATATATCCTATAGTGAGGTCTATTATTGTATTTTTTTTTTGAAAAATGGCCAAATCAACTCAAATTTAATTTTAAATTTTAATAACCTGATAACCCTAACATTCACATTTTTAGAAAGAAATAAAAGAAATTACCGAAAATGAAGATATAAATAATAATTTAATCAAAAATACACAAATTAAACAAATTAAAACAATTTCAAATCAAACATTAATAATCATCCCCCACCATCGTGCAGCAGAACAACATTTGTTTAAAAAATTGCTCGTTGCCTGCTGTGAAAGTTGTGAACGGAGAGCTTCACTTACAGTAAAAAATTTTGAAATACAATCGAATCTTGCTATAATATACACCCTTAGGGATAAAAAAGACGTCTAATAAATAGGGCTGTTCAACTTGGACTTGAGTAGGGTTGTCAATTTCACCAAATTCTCATGTTAACCTTCGGGTTTTGGTTCGGTTTGAAAACAACAACCCTAGGCTTGTTTATTGACTCCAGACTTTTCTGGGGTCTTGGGGGTTGATTAGGAATTTGACTAAAATTGTGAAAAAATCAAACATAAATTTTCTCACAGTTATTAGTCCCCAATAATTACCATCAACACAATTATGGAAGAAAAAGAAATTTTTCACAATCTGAAGAGGATTGTTTCAATCGTAGTTGTTCCGATTGTGAAATGGAAAGAGAAGATAATGAAGATGAAGAGGATATTCCTTTTGAATGTGATGAAGAGAATAAAGCAGAGATTCATGATACGTTAGCCAATATGTATGTAAATTTAAGTTTAGTTAAAAATCAGAATATATTGGGATATCAGAATATTAGATAATAATCAATTAATCTTATGTGAGTGGTATTATTCGACATATCCTGTATGTGGTACCAAAATAAATGTGATATCTACGAAAAGTGTTCTGGGGCCTATTTCAATTGTCCGCAGATTCTGCATTCTGTGCACAGAACACAGACCGCAGAATCTGTGGACAATTGAAATAGGGCCCTGGGCTCTGTGATAATTTAGGCATGTTTCTGGGAGAGGTTGAGGGGTAGCAGTCAGGTCCTGTAAAATCTTCGGATATCGGGAGACCCTCAACTATATTCGGAACCAAATCGAAAGACCCTCGAATAGGTAAGACACATAATTTGGAAGAATCCAGAAGCCAAATATTTTATTAATCTTTCCCGATACCCTACCAATATATCTTCATTATTTTCAAGGTATTTTAATAAAGTTGTTCTCCCTGATATGGATTATGTTGAAGATTTTGTAGATTTTTTAATTGATGCCGAATTAAACGATTTGCCTGTATTAAAGCGAGCTTGTGAGAGATATTTATGCGGAGAATTGAATACTGTATGGATTTTTTTTGGAATTTAAAAAATTTTATTTTCTAGAAAAAAGAATTAATGACTTCTTTAATTTTGGATTTATTTTTTATTGCTATGGTTTTTCGATTGCCTGTAATGAAGTCTATGACGTTGACTGAACTTTGTGATCGTTACTATGAAATGGAGGATCTTGGAATTTTAATGGAGAGAGACGAATACAAGTACGGTAGAGGCTCGATAGTTTGTCACGTCTCTCTATTACGTCATCCAGATCAGAGGTGTGCCGAAACGGATTTCAAAAAGTGAAACATTATGACGAAAGACGAAACAACAGAAAGTGAAAATTCACTGAAAGGCACACTCCTGGTCCAGGCGGTGACGTTTTATCGAGATTGATTGTAACTTATTTGATTTTAAAAAATATATGGGAAGATATAAAGCTTTTAGTTAAAAATTTAAAAAATTCTTTAATTAAGAAGCCTTGATAAAAGAATTCGACAGCTTTGTGGAGACCGAAATTTGGCCGATTTAGTAGACGAATGTAAACGTTTCAGAGAACAATGCCTTCGTGTTCAACGTGTTAATTTTTGTTCTAAATAAATTTTAAAAATTTAAATAAACGCTAATAAATTTTATTGATATATAATTTTTTATCGGGAAATAGCTCTTAATTTTTTCCGATCAGGGCTGTTTTTGGCCAGCGGATTGTGTGAATTTCTTGGGTTTTTGGCCTGCGGGTTGCGTCACACCTGTTCCCAAGACCATTTTTATTTCGTATCATAAGTTAGTTCATTGATAACTTGTTTTTAAAATTTTCAAAAAAACAATTAGTATAACTCAACAAATTTATATAAATAAGACAAAGAATAGTCATAAACTTGCTGGCCGTAGGCTTTGAACATTAAAAAAAATTCTACTAACCCAACCATATAACTAAACTAAGAAAAACGGAATTTTCAGATAATTTAGACACTTCCTAGGAAAAAGATTTCCTTCCATAAATATTCAGAAAACTTATTAAATAACTAGCGGAAGGGGTCGCCCTTCGGGCGAGCCCCTTCCGCTAGCCAAATTCTAAACATTACAAAAACTTAAATTAGAACACCACAAACATAAACCTCACTTGTCAACTATTAACTATCAATTTTCACTATTAACAATGATTCGACCATTAACTAAGATTTTCAACTTTCACTATTTTCAACTTTTTCTATGTCAACTATTAACTATCAATTTTCAACTATTAACAATTAACAATGATTCAACTATTAACTAAGACTTTTAACTATTAACAATGATACAACTATTTACTAAAACTTCCAATTTTCAACAATTAACTATTAATATCTATTTCGCCTATTAACTATTAACCAACTTTCAAATATTAATATACAAATATTAACCAACTTTCAAATATTAATTTACAACTATTAACTATTAACCAAACTTCAAATATTAATTTTTAACTATTAACAACATTAACTATCAACTATTAACAACCCTTGTCATTTAACCGGTTGTTAGTCTCTTCTATCTCAGTCACTACCGCTTTTTTCTCACTCATTGTGGGACCGTTTTCTCATACCTATTGAACGACTATTTTCTCTTTCCTATTGACGAACTCTTTTATCTTGTTTACTGGCGAACCCTTTTTTCGGGCCATTTGACGGGCACTTTTCTTTTGCTTATTGCACGAAATCTTTTCTTCCCACCATTGTCAGACCTTTTCACAGTTTCGGGACACTTTTCGCTTCCCATTATTCCAACCATCGCCAGACTCTTTTCACCCATTTACGGGAACCTTTTCGCTAACCATTATTCCAACGATTGCCAGACCTATTTCACCCAGTTACGGGACCATTTTCGCTCACCTCAACCATTTCCAGACCCTTTTCACCCATTTACGGGACCATTTTCTTTTCAACTTTACTGGAACTATTCCCTAACTCTTTTATCAGAAGAAAAGCAAAATAAAACTTAAAAATTGATTAAAATAAAGAGTTCAAAAAACGAAAAAAATTACAGCAAAAAAACAAAACAAATTCTAAAAAATTCACATTCTTTCTTTACTTCTCTAAAGACACACTATTTTCTGTTTGGGATATTTTGTCATTTATAATTAAAAAAATAAACACAACGCCAAAAGTCTCGCAAAATTCAAAGCTGCGGACAGACAGACAAAGCATTCTAAAATTATATATAGGATATTTACCATTGATTGATTAGAACAAAATAATGAATAATATTTTTATAAAAAATGCTACATTTAAGCAATTTTATTTCCTCATTTTATTTATTTTTTTATAAATTCGTAAACAATCAACACATACACAATTCTCTCCCTCAACAATACTTTGTATTGTCATAAAAATAAATAATAAAAGATTTTTTTAATTAAAAAAAACAAGTTTTAGAAACGACACAAATTTGATTATTTTTACGTTTTTAAAAATTATTTTAAATAAATTTTCTATCAAATTTCTTCAATTATTTAAAAAATATTTATTTTCGTAAATAAATGTGACAAATCTTCTCATAGTTAAATTATAAATTGTACTTTATTTGACGGATTAAGGCTGGAAAAATTTTAAATAAATATAAAGTTTAAACAAACAAATTTTACCCCCTTCCTTCTCTAAAAATTATTAATTAATTAATAACGATAAATATTATTGAAATTTAGTAAAAATAATAAATTTGAATTGCTGTCGGATCTCGATTTTACAAATGAAATTTGGTCTAAAAATCCTATCTAAAATTAAGGTGTGTCTGAAAGTAATATTTTTTGGATTTCTCATCTAGGGCAGTGTTGTATGTTTCGTGAATCGGGGACGGACATACCTGGCTCGGACATTTTCCAAATCTAGGCTCAGGGTACTTGATAAAATTGAAAAAACTTTTGAACACCTCGATTTTATTCGAATAAAAACCGCACAGCCGAAAACCCGAAGTTTTTCGGTTTCGGTTAACCGAAGAATTTTGTGAAACCGACAACCCTACTCTTGGGCAATCAAATTAAAAAGATTATTTTTGAATAAAATCGAGGTGTTCATAAGTTTTTCTAAATAAAATCGTTGTCCGACTAGATCTAACTATATGAATCTATTTTAATAAAATTTCTAGTCTATCAAAAATTATATAAAAATGAAATTTGTAATTTTTATTTTTGTAATTTTTTTGTTCAAAATTGTTGAAGGAAATGAACGAAGTATTCGAGTATTGCCTCCATTCTATTTAACTGTTCCAGAATTTAAAAAATGTTTAGAAAGGTTGTTGAATTTTTGAAAAATTTTTTCCTTCCATTGTTCTCCCTTTTTTTCATCGTAATTTCCTTAAGCCGAAAAGTAGAGTTAGTTTATTGGATGCTTTGAAGCTCCAAGTTCCTTTTCTTCCAAATCCTGGCTTTATTCTTATTAAATCGAATCTAGGCTCATGGTACTTCACGAAAGTTGTTTCTGTATACTTTAAAAAGCCAATTCCTAGAGTATACGCGGATTGCCCCAAAAATCCTATTTAGGTTCAGCTTTACTCCTGAAGTGGGATCACAATACTTTTTAAATTAATTTTTGAATTTAAAGAAAGAATTTGCAAAAGTTTAGCCACCGGGCAAAAGTTTAGCCACCTGTGACCACCTGCTAGTTGTTGCTAGGCGCTTTCGCTCACCGCGTATATGAGCTCTACCTCTGAGCTACCGGGGCATCGACTAATGCTTTCTCTTTTTCCTTTTTGATCGTTTAACCCCCGCCTAAACGTTTTAAATGCTGCTAGGTGAATCATCTTTCATTTAAAACGATTCAGTCTAGGCGAAATTAAATTTTTTCAATAAAAAATATTTTTAAAATTTCCCCTTAATTATACACTTCCGTTATTTAACATAAAATATCCCCCTAAAAAATCATTTTTGCAGCAAGGAAATAAACGGCGACCATGAAGTTTGGTGTTTCCCTGAAGATATACCTGCTGGCTGCGACCCTAAATCATGGAAACAATTAAAAGTATTTTTAAATTAAGAATGCTTAAATAAATTAAATATATTTACAGGAACATCAAGAGAAGGATGGACTTAAGCAATGTTGTGATATTTGAGAAAAAAAAAATTTTTTTGACAAAATAAATGTTAAAATTACAAATACATATATATTCTTTTAATTTAATTTTTAATTAAATTTTAATAAATGTATCATCTAATCAACAGTAGTCTTTACTAGTGTTGGTCACGGTACGGTATTACCGCGGTATTTTTCGGTAATACCGCGGTATTTTTTACCGAAATACCGATACCGATACCGCACAGTTTAAAAAAAATCGGTATTTTTTCGGTATCGGTATTTTACCGAAATACCGATACCGATACCGATACCGCCTCAATCAAAATACCGCGGTATTTTTCGGTATTTCGGTATTTTCCTGCGGCGCTAAAAATGGAAGTTTTTGGCTTAAGGATCTTCCAAAATTCTCAAAATTTTCGCCTGCGGCGCTAGAAAATGAAGAAATCTCGTGACTAGGCCTTACAAAATTCTCAAAATTTTCGCCTACAGCGCGGATGAAAAAGTTTTGGCTTAGTCGCATTAAGTTATCCCTTCCCTGGTTTAATACCAGGACTGAACGCAGTTGCGGAATGCGTATTGCGGGTGCGTGTATAGATGGTATATAGGGTACGTGATAGGTGGATATCTCAATCAACCACTGATATCTCGATTAATCCATTTACCTTACACTAATAAGAGTGATATAGGTGGAAGGGATATCACGGGTATCAAGGGGTAAGTAACTTGGAACTATTTACTCACTATTTATAAATTTATTTTACATTTATTGTATTAAATTCGCTCACCTGGTAAATTTTCAAAAAATACCGAAATACCGCGGTAATACCGACTATTTTTCGTCGGTATTTTTCGGTATCGGTATTTTACCGAAATACCGATACCGATACCGATACCGACTCAGTCAAGAATACCGCGGTATTTTTCGGTATCGGTATTTTACCGAAAATACCGATACCGATACCGAAAAAACGCGTTTGACCAACACTAGTCTTTACGTACTAGAGGGGTTCTACTCCGTTTTCTCCTACCGTAAATTATCTTCACGTAACAGTAATTGTGGATACAGCCATCTTCCTCAGAATTCCGGTTTTTCGACCTTTAGCTTCCACGTTCCGTCTAGGGTTGTTCCCCGACGGGTGTGGGGAGGGGGGGGGGAATTTTCAAAAAAAATCTCAAATTTCCCGACTTTCGAGGACGGGGACGGTGAACAATCCTAGTTCTGTCTGCCTATTTTTATTATTAAATGCGACTAATAAATATATGATAACCGGTGATCATTACTTTTTTTATTTTTAGTTATACCTTGCTTTAGAGGTAGTTTTTGGAATTTTATTGGCTTAGTGGAAATTTTTATGAAATCTGTTTTTATTTAAACGCAAATCAAAATTTTATTAAATTAAAAATAAAAAATTCAAACGCCAGGCATAATCTCAAATCTTCCTTTTGTCGATTTCAGACCCTGAAGGAAGAAAATAGTCCCAAACGAGATCACAGAAAGGAACGAAAGTATTATCGGTATTAAAATAAATAAAATTAAATTTTCTTTAATTTGTTTCCTTCTTCCTTTCAATTCCTCTTTTTGTTCAAACTGTTCGCTTTTTAAACGTTTTTCAAATTCTGCACGGGTACGGACTACACACTTGCGCATGTTTGATAATGTACGGAAGAATGGACATCCCTTTTAAATTTTTTTTTGAAAATTTTGGTTTAAGACTAACCAAGGAAGGACAAAAATAGCTTTCTTTAGCTATTGATATTTGATGTCGGGAGGAAAGATTGTAGCGAGGCCCGGTAATTAAACGATTCCATAGCCATTTTGCTGCATAAGTATGGCCAAGACTTTAATTAATTTATATATAGTCAATTCACCTATGTCTGTAAAGAAATACTCCATATAATCGACTCCGTCTATAAGCACCTTCTATATTATGGATTCTGTTTATGGCGACTCGGTCTAATGAAAGATAGTCTCATGAAGTCACATAGGATTTAAGATTTCACTCCTAAAACAACTCCCTATATAATGAATTCTTTAAGAACTCTTTCTATGGGCCCTCAGTGTCCATTAAATTTATAGGGACTATCTGTAATTCCCAAAATAAATCCCCAAGGGGCGGCTATAATCCAGGATTGTTTCAGGAAATACAAAACCCCTCCTAAAATTCTTCATGAGATTCTCCTTCCTTGAAATCCATCTATTAATGGAATACGGCAAAATTCAAAAACAATTTCCTTGCCTATTAAGAAGAGGAAATTCTGACAGAAAAAGTTGTTCTAAAGGTTGTCGATTGTCTATACCAATCTTAAGCTTGGACAGGGCCAAAAGGGAAAATGTCGGATATTTATTGTTTTTCTCGTAAAATTCTGCTTCCAATTGAGTTAGTGCTTTACGCCAAATTTGTTGTAAATTTGCAAGTTGAGAATCTGTAATTTTTGAAAGGCAAGGACAACGAGGCCTTTAATGAAAGGAAAAATTTTTTTTCAAAGAATTTTAAAGAAACTTTAGTAAATTTAAAGTCAATTCAGAAGATCGTGCAACGTGTATAGGACCAACTAAGACTACAAAAAGTTTTGGAAGCGATCTGCGAAGTGTTTGGATCGAATGCCTTAGAGCTCCGATATTTGGCTGAAATTAGAAAATTTTAGAAGTTTTTTAATTAAAAGAAAAATGAAGTTCGGACTAGTAGAATCGGGCCCTGGCAGCTCTCCGACGAAGTTTTGGGGTAGGCCTACACATGATAGTTTTCAGGAAACCAGAGATTTTCAGATTGTCCATTTTCAGTGTTCTAGCTATAAAGATCCTTTAAAAGGTCCATCCTATTAGCATTAAGTTCTGAACCCAAGAAAAATTATTTTTGTAAACCAACAGGATCACATTTTGCGCAAAATTCTTCAGTTCCAACAGTTATAAAAAGCATTATCCACTTTTCTTTAAGCTGTTCTGTAGTATAATATTCTTTTAAACGGCCAATCAACCTTTTAGCCTGATCAGGCATTCCATCAGTTTCTGCACCACTCTCAGCTACGTTAAATTGGTTAGAAGGGAGTGAATCTACATTTCCCATTCCATGGGATATCCCTTCCAATTTTGGGTTGAATATAGACAAAATATCTGAAAATTTTATATTTTTCCAGCAAAAAGGCTAACAGAAATAAGATTTGATGGAATTGTGACTTTAAGAGCTCTTCAAAGCTCCTACATCACACAGGCTGATAGTTAGACTAAACGAATTTTGCCATCCCTCATAAGAATGAAGGATTGAGGCCTTCATTCGCCGAACCATCATTACCACCAACACTCCATTCCCTCCAATTTATTCGAAAAGTTTCTTTTCTTCATTCAAGGACCGATTCCTTCATGGTTCCTGTTATGGATGAGTTTCTCTCAATTGAAGCTGTAAGGATGCTTTTTTATGTCAGGCATAGCTCCTCCTCAAACCTCTGGCATAGTTGAGGGGAGGCCGCAGGCATAGCTCCTCCTAGAAACTACTATGGCTAAATTATAGCCCAAATCTCAGCTTAACACATCCCCTTCTCCTTTAATTAAGAAGATAAAACTAATTTACTAGCAAAGGTAACAAGCCCATCAATATTAGCATCACCACCAACAGTAAATGCTGCGCCACGAAACTCGATATTTTCTCCTTTGTATAGACCTAATCCTGTCTTGAAAAAAATTTCCAAATTCAAACTAAATTTTCTTTTCTTGCCGAAAGTGCATCCCCCATCGCTGCAACAACATCAATATCTTCTGGACTTAATTCGGCAGTTGAACTTCCAGTTGCCAATAATTGTTTAACTAAAGGACACGTAAATGTTTTTCGATTCTGGAATAAATCATCAATTTGTGATAAAGAATCTTCATCATCTTCTTTATTTTCTTCATTTTTATCATCATTTTCCTTCTTTATTAATGTACTATTATTAATTTTCTTTGTCTTATTTGAATCTTGTTCATCTTTTTTTAACAAAAGGGATTTTGGTGATAATAAATTTTGATTTATATTGGAACCATTCTATAAAAAATTAATAATTTAATTTTCTAAAGAGGACATTAGGAAATTAAGGGATTTTTAGGGATACTTTAGGAAATTAGACGATATTTAAACTCTATATGTTAGGGTTGCCGGCTCGGTTCGATAGAGTGAACCGGGCATAGAATTTTGGCTTAAAAAAGCTCGAATGGCACGGTTCGATAAAATAAAGCCCGAAAAAAATAACTCGGAAAAACTAGTCCCGATTCGAACAAGACTCGGTAATATTTTTCAAATTTTCAGACAAAGTGTGGCTCCATGGCCTTCCAAAATTCTCGAAATTTTCGTATATCCACGTATCATTTATTTACATAATTGCAGATAAAACATACCGCTATCAATTTTTGAGCATCCAATTTAAATAAAAATTTAATTAAAAATAAATATAAAATAAAATTATTAACAAAATATTTAAAATAAAATTTATTCATTAAAAAAATTTTTTTATAAAATTTAAAACATAATCGATTTAAAAAATTTTTATTATTGTTCAAAATGACTTTTCTCTCTTCCTCTTTACGTCTTTCTATCGAAACCTTTTTTTGAAAAATAAACTTGTGATTATATGCAAATATATAACACTGACTGATAAAATTATCGATCACTATGTTAATAAAATTTCAAAAAGAATTTTTTTGATTGTTTGCATTAAGTCTGAAAAAAGAAGATTTGTGTATTTCGTAGGGTTGAATCAAGTCATGTGGATTTTAGTTATATCAGGATATTGCAAGGGAGCTAAAAAATAACGAGGGATCTGGTCTTCTGAAAATTGGGTATTCCCACTTGGCCTTCAGAAATTCTCAAAATTTAAGCCTTTTGGAACCGGTTCCAGAACAGGAACTGGAACCGAAGAAAATAAAAAAAGCAGTGTAATGCTATAGTAGAACATGCTATAGTAGAACATCTAAGTTAGGGTGTATATTTTTTAATTTAGGTAAGAATTTCAAGTAAAATCTTTCGAAGTAAAATTTCGATCAAAAATCTCGATTATAGAGATTGAAATTTTAGTCTCTAATACTGACTTATTTTAACCCGATATTTTGTTTTGGTTGTTAACAAACTTTTTCTGTCCTTTATAATTTTCAGGTTTTTATTTTTTAACTAAAAGAATCGAGGATTGAAGAACTATATATTTGATTATTTATTATTTTGACATTTTAGTTTAGTATCTTTTAAATTCCAAGCATTTGATTATTTAAAAATTTTGATTTTTGGATAAAGATTTTGGGTATTTACTTTTGAACAATTTTAAGCAATTTAGGTAGGTCATCTGGGCTTGTATCACATCTGGGTTTGTATTACTTATATTTTTAGATGTTAAAAGGATTTTAAGAGTATCATTTCTGTTAATTGAAATAAAATTTAATTTATCTTTAGCTATATTTTCAAAATTTTCACTGACTATATTATTAAGATAAGAGATATTTGTGTTAAAATGAGAATTAAAATATGAAAAGATCAGGTTACTTTTGTTTTCTTCTGAAAAATTAGGATTGGCATTAGAATCGAGAATGGTTGACAAAACTGATTTTTTTATTTTTAAGAAATTTACTAACGTGTTTAAATTTAGAAGATAAACTAGTTTCTGTTACACCTCAGATTAGAGAGGATATTCCTTGGGATATTCCTCCCTAGGTACTAATTGGGTATAGACAGAATATCTGAAAAACTTTTTATCAACGACTGATGGTTTTCATTTTTGATTTGTCAAATAGATTGAAGGAAATTTTGCTGCCTTTGCCCTCCATCCCCCATGAATATGAATTGTCAGCCCCCATCATTCCCTCCATCTTACACATAGAATTACCTCTCTTTTAAAGGGCAACAAAGCGCATGATTCCTTCCGATTTCCCTCTCATGGCTTAATTTCTCATGAGGGTGAGCCTTGATAATTTAAGAGCAATTACTTGTATTTCATGTCACACTTTAATAAAGGGATATAGCCCAGCTATAGCTTACCTATAGCTTACCTATAGCTCACCTTAGCTCACATATAGCTCAGTCTATAGCTCATTCCCTCTCAGCTAAAGCTCAATCCCTCCCCTTTGACTAAAATATAAGTATTCACTAGAAAAGGTAACAAATCAGTCATATTGTGTCACTACCAAGCTTAAATGCAGCGCCACAAAACTCAATATTTTCTCCTTTGTATAGACCTAATCAAGTAAATCTTAAATTTTTGATAAAGATTCTTCTTCGTTTTCTTCTATTTTTTTATTTTTTAATTATTACACGGTTATTAAACGTTAGATGGAAAACCTAGTAAGGACGTTAAGAAAATTGGGATAATAATTTCATTTATTAAACAAATTTTTTTCTTTTATTTATAGAATTTAAAATTAAATTTTTAATTTTAAAGACCTTCAAAAAGTTTAAAAATATTTTTAAATAAAAATTGAAAATGAATGTTTCTATATTTATTTTCCTTTTTATTTGTTCTAATTTTCTTCATCATATTTACGGGATGGATAGAGGTAAAATTTTTTTATAAAATTTGCATCATAACTAAAAGTTTGATACATCCCGTCATTAAAAGTAATCCTAAGCGGTTAGCATTGGTTTTAGCTCTAAGTTTTGTTCTGGATTTTGACTGCCCCTGGTTTGATCTACCGGGTTTCAGCGAACTTTTTATTCAAAAGTAATAATTCCTTTTTCCCGATGTAGTCAATTTCAATTTTTCTTTGACTGAACTATCTGTCTTGATTAGAATTTTAAAATCAATTTCTATTGAGGATTTGCATGATTTAAAAATTTTAGACGATTTGTCTAGTTTTATGAAAAATAAAACTGAAAATGTTTTGGAGGGGATTTATGAAAGATTTAATGAGGATTTTGGTGAAAAATTTTTTAAAGACATTAATGAGGTAAATTTATTAACTTATTAAATAATATTAAACTATTTTGACTAACTTTTCGAATGCAATGAATAGTGAGCAGGGTAAATAAAACCGGTAAAAATGCGGGTACATATGTATGACGTAAGACCAGCATGATGATGATGAAATAAGGGCAATTTTTAGGTTCGTATTCCCCCTCTTTTTTTCTGACCATTTTTTCATTTCCTTCCCTTTCTCCATTATTTTTCTTGAGGTCCAGGCTCTAAGAGCTTGGAATTCATGGTAAAACATGCAGATAACAATACCAACACATATTTACGTACCGAAATATTTTCCTAAATTTTTGTGGCGAAAACGATTCATGTTTCTTTTTTATCCTTTAAAAATTAGAAATATTTCTCATAAATCCTTTTTGATACCTGCCTCGTGAAAAATAGGGAAAAAGGGAAGGAAAAATGAAGAAATGGTCAGAAAAAAGGTGGGGGAATACGAACCGAAGAAATACAGAAATGGGCATAGCGCATATTATTATGAGATCCGATTATATGTATAATATTTAATTGTTTAAAAAGCTCGCTAAAAATAGTTGATTGAGTTTTGAACTATAATTTTGGCGCTGGTCTAGTTTATGCGTCCAATGAACTTTTATGAGTCCAATGAAAAGTTTATGAGTCCAATCAACAAAAAATTGGATTTTTCTTAGTATTGCAAAGTTGGGGTATGGTTCCAAAGCATTTTTTCATGTTCGTGACCTAAGCCCACTGGGTTTGGGACCATTCATTACTCTATACCTCGAAATTTTGGAAAGTTATAATCGTTTTTCAGAAATTTTTAAAAATTGGCTATAACTTACCGAAATTTCGAGAAACAGGGCAAGGAATGGTCCCAGACCCAGTGGGCGTAGGGCCCGAACATGAAGAAATGTTTTGGAACCATACCCCAATTTTGCAATACTAAGAAAAATCCAATTATTTTTTGATTGGACTCATAAAGTTTCAATGGACGCATAAACTAGACCAGCGCCATAATTTTTATATTTAAAAAGGTTATCAAAAACCACTCGCATAAATATAATAAAGAAATTGAAATAGATTTTATTTTAAATAAATTAATGGAACTCACTTCTGCAATGTCTTTAGAAGAATATGCAGAATTTTTAAATGATTGGGGAATACTCCAACAAAATCAGAATCCTTTTGAACGACTTAAAAATGATAAAAATTGGTTGAAAGCATTACCACCTGTTAAGTCGTTGTTGCCAATAATGGATAGGTTACTTTTTGAATTTTTTGAAATTCAAAAAAAATATTTTTTAATAACTAATTTTATATTTTTTTAAAATTTTTTCCTTTCCATGCGTCCAAATTTTGAGAATTTCTAAGGTCGTAACCAAATTATTCACTTTTTCAGCGCCGCAGGCGAAAATTTTCAGAATTTTGGAGCTTAAGCAGTCAGATTTCTTTCATATTCAGCGCGCTGCAGGTAATTTACAACAATATTAAAAATCCCGTAAACTTCGTCGAGGAAATTTTGTCAAAAATATACCCCCAAAAACTAGTTCCAAAACCAAGCTAGTTCCGGAAATTTACTAGTTCCGTAGTTCTAGTTTCAAACTAGTTCCAGATAAACGTTAGTTCCGTAGTTTAGTTCTGGAACTGGAACTAATTAGTTCCGAAACTGGAACTTGAACTTTGACATCACTGGTGGTAACTTACTGAAATCGAGCTAAAAATATTTTGAAAATCTAAATAAAATATATTATAATTTATTTCAGTGAAAATTTGCAAGGTTTAATAAATCATTTCTCAAATGGAACTAATATGTTTGATAAAAATATTTATATTTTTTGGCACTTA